TCCCCTTCTTGGATTTGGTAGTGCTCTTCTTCAGTGATATAGTGGACTGGTTTCTGGTTAGTAAGCAGAAATTGATCCAGCTTGTCGTTGAGAGCCTTTACCATTTCTTTAGTATGCTTTGTATCCGAATCTCCAATACCTCTGTTGGAGCGATCAAAATCCTCGTTATAGTTACCATCGGATAGAGCTAAGTTCTCTATCAATTCCCAGCCTTCCTCAACATCCTTGTTCAAGAAATTCCCATTAGAGGCAGTGTCTAGCAACATTCTGATCTTGGGCAAAACTCCCCTGTAGAGTGTGCTGAGTAGTGAAGCCTTCTTGAAACCATGGTGTGGACACTGTATAGTGTAGCCTTTGAATCTCTCCCAGGCCTCACAAATGGATTCAGACTGCTTTTGGGTGAAACTGGAGATCTCATTCCTTAGACGAGCAGTTCTTGAATTTGAGAAGAACTTAGTTAAGAAGGCCTTCTTGCATTCATCCCAAGATGTGATGGAGCCAGCAGGTAGTGTTTTCTCCCAATGGTGTGCTTTGTCTCCCAGCGAGAAGGGAAACAGACGCAGCTTGAAACTATCTTCACTAACACCATTTATCTTGGTGAGGCTGCAGAGCCTATCAAAATTATCCAAGTGATCCAAGGGATCTTCCAGAGGCAACCCATGAAACTTGTTACCTTGTATCATTGAGATCAATCCACTCTTGATCTCGAAATTGTTGTTCTGGACAGGAGGTGGAACGATGCCCTGTCTCTGTTGATGGTTGCGTGGTGCATCACCATCACCAATGTTCCGTGGTATACCAACTCCGTGATTATCTTGATCTTGTGGTTCCATGGCTACTGGATTGTGCGGTTCACAATCGTCACTGACTCTACGTTCTCTCAACTCACGAGCTAACCGATCGATGTTGTCTTTGTAGCTGATGAGGTTGCTGGAGCCTTTAGATCGAGTTTGCATGCAGAGTGGTCAGTCTCGATGTGCTGTCTCGACGTGTGGTCGAGATGGTACCTGGAGCACAAAAACAAGCAGATGAAATGAAGAGTTAGTAACCAAAGTAAAGAAAGAACTTGATCTTAAACGTTTCTGAAATCTGAAATGGAACAATGCAACACAGGACTGGCAACGGCGCCAAATTGATAGTAGGTTTTTACTCTAACAAGTATCAATTCCTAATACACATGCCATTGTAGTATATTAGGTTATCAATCCAATCTCAGTGTGACTGCAAGCATTCAAGATATGAAACAGAAAGCAAATAAGTCAAGCCAATTGTGAGAAGGTTTTGTGTGTTTCTATTCAACCTAAGCTTCCAATTAACATGCAAGTACCAAATTCAAAAGCATAAGAAAGAGAACTAAACATCAAGTAAACAAGAGCAAGAAGTAAACTAAAGACCAGAAACTATCATGCATAAGATTTGGAAAAGAAACTAACAACCTAACAATGCAGAGAAGCGCTCTAGGCCTAACAGGTCGAGTAAGACACAAAAGCTAACAGAAACGATAATCAAGCAATCAATAGAGATAAAGGGTCCTGAGGAATGGGGTAATTGATTATAGCAGTCTCCTTAGTCTATCTAGGTGGTTAACAAACTCAATCAAGCTATCCCTAGACATTAGATTCAAATACAAACCAATCCACTCTCGTGACAGAGATTCTCAAGCTAAATCACTTTCATACTCAATTCTCATTGAAGAAATATAACCTAGCAGGCATTATGATTCAATCTAATCTAGTCAATAAGCATTCTAAACATCCAATCTCTTGGGCTAGAGTATGCAAATCTCTGGAAAAGTTTGTTCAAACATTTCATCAAACACCTTGTGGGTGTGGAAATGTCTGAGATCTATTTCCAATTGATCAGAGAAGAAATAGCATTAAGATCTACTAAACCAGAAGGGAAATCAAGCAATTCTACACTTAACCACCTAAACATACTAAGGATTCCACACCTAATCTAACCCATCCTCAAGAACCCTAATCCACTACTCAAGAACACTGAAGAACATCATGCATATAAACCCAGAAAATGCTTCAAACCCAGAAATCATTAAAAAGCAAGTATGTTATAGATAAGAAGGAGATCTACAACTTTGATGAAGAAAAAAAATCCAAAATCTCAAAGGATCAACAGGAAAAACGATTACAAAAACTAGGGTTTATGAGAGAACGGCTCAATATCCGCTGGGTAAAGAGAATGTCCGCTGGATAAAAGGGTGAACCCCTATTTATAGAAAATACTAGGTTGCCCTAATTAGCTACAGGACAAAATAGAGAGTCGGCGGAGACCGTCTCGACGTGACGTCGAGCCAGGTTGGTCGAGACAGCCCTTCTTCAGAGATGGCGCCTGGATGACCCTCTCGACGTGTCATCGAGCCAGCACGTCGAGACAGTCCCTCCTCCGCTTCTTCACGTCTCACTCGACCTCTCATCGAGCCTGGTTGATCGAGTCTACTCCCAGTCGGCTTCTTGGCGTTGTCTCGACGTGTAGTCGAGCCATGACGTCGAGCCTGCTCCTGGGTGGTCTTGAACGACTTCATTTCTCTCCAACTCGATCCTAAGTCTAGCTCCAAGGTCGTGTTGGTTCCTTCTTGCTCCATTAAGCCCCAAATAAGCTCCAAAGTACCTGAAACTCACCCAATATGCAACATGCTATGCCATGCAATGCAAAACGTACTAAGTGATGAAAATGATATAAAAAGGGCTCTGGATGCAATGAAAGAGTGATAAAACTTAGCTAAATGTATGAGAAAAGTAAGCTTAAAAGTGGTAAAATAGAGAGATATCAACTCCCCCAAACTTAGCTCTTGCTTGCCCTCAAGCAAACAAACAGAACTAAGCTGGAGAAGAGGTTTGAAGGTGGAGACTCAGAACCAAAACATGCATATAGAGTAAGTGAATTCAATGTCCAGGTTGCTAATTCTAGAATGCAAGGTTGACTGATCTCTACTTAAAAACATTAGCCATCTCCTTCGCATCTCAACCTAACCTCTGCCTTAATCAATTCAAGCATTCAAATCAGCACATTCCCTTTAACATTGATTAAGCAGGAACCGTGAATCATACTATGCATTGGATAAGAACACATTTGGCTTAAGGGTAAAGGTCTAGAGACAAAGATGGTCCCTTAAAGATCTGGTTTGAATCATAACAGGGGATCTCTCAAGAATGATTGAGCTTTAGTAGAATGCTAAAGGTGAGTATCAAGTTATGCATACAAGGATAAGACCCCATCTACCCAGAATGTAACCAATATCAAACCAAATGGAGGTCCTATTTCTAATCCCAGAACATGAACTTAACTCTACCCTTTTGCATTTAAAGCTTTTACAGACTTTACTCACATCATTCCTTTCTTTTCTTTGCTTTTCTATCCTAGGAGAAGCTTTCTTATTTTGCTCTGTCTAGCGGATTAGGATACTTCAACAACTAGGGTTCCCTTTTCTTTCTTCTTATAACATAAGGCTTTTTACCCCATTCTCTTTAAGCTATTACAGAACCCTTTTTCTTTACTTTATAACATTCCCAAATCCTTTACTAGACTTTTCTTACTTTAGCAACTTCTCCTTAGGACTCTTTTCCCTTTTCTTTTCTTTCAATGATGAACACAACCTTTTCTTTCTTTTAAGAACATCCCAAACCCAGAATTAAGCACCCACCTAGTCCTATCTGGTCCAGATAGCGTGAACCAGAACTACATGAGATACTATCCTTGTCGTTACAGACCTAACACTTTCTACCAAGCTCAATCGAAATAAGGCCTCACAGTCACACACAAATAATAAATGGCTTGAAAGAAGGTTAGGGCTAGGGGTAGGGAATAACTGCTCCAAAGATGGGAGTCAGCTACTTGGACTAGCAAGAGTGATAAAAAAGGTAAAAGAAAGTCCAAGTATTTTAAGGTATCCATGAGTTCATAGCACAATGCACAGCATGATAATTATAAGTCAAAATTCAAGTTCAAATAGATAGGGAATGGCATCAGATCAAAGCGAGATTCGACTAAGAACAAGAAAATCAAGTGTTGAATTCAAAAGATGGTGCGGTCTTACTTCAAGTTCAGTCGATTATGCATTAGAGAACTAACAACCTGGGCACTGAGTTCTACTTAGTGAATAAGCATATTTACAAGGTTATAATCATCATAATCTCCAATGCAAATGCATGATGCAACAGCCCTAAGTGAAAACATACTAAAACAGTCTTAAAATGGCAATGCGAACTACATGAACACTCTCTTTTTGTATTACAATTTTCGAAATTTTTCAAATTTTTTTGGTTTTTCTATGCCTTAGATGATTATGCAATAAGAAAACAGAACACAACATCAAATACTTCTTGGACTCTCCCCCAAACTTAAATTACACAGTCCCTTGTGTAATAAAAATTCAGAAGAGAGCTCAAGAGAAACAAACAACGAAACAGAAAAGCAAACTAATGCAATGAAATAGTACAATGGTTTAGGGGGATGAGTGGTACTTTGGTTTTATCCGAAGTAGGTGTCGAGGAACTCATCCATGCTCTCCTGTGTGTAAGAAGGAGCTGTGCTTGACTCTGGAGGAAGCTGCTCGACGTTGTGCTGCATGTAGGGAGGATTGGTTGGCTCTGGAGCAGGCTCGACGTGCTGTCTCGACGTGTCATCGAGCTCCATGGTCGAGTCTGCCTCTGGACTTGGCTTCTGAACCTTCCGCTTCCTGCGATGGCTTTGCGAACGTTTGGGGAGTGGTGTAGACTCTTCTTGGCTTTCCCTCTGGCGTGGCTCAAAGGATGAGTATCTTGGAGGATCAGCCCTTACCGCGTGTCGTGGAGCCATGCTTGAGGAACCGCTTCTTCTCAAAGTACCCCTCTCTTCTGATGATGATGGAGAATGCTTGGACTTCTTCTGGAGGTCTGTGATCTGGAGCGCCATCTTCTTCACCATGGTGGTCAATGAATCTACCTTCTTGGACAATCCTCGCATCGCCTTCCCTTAAAACCTACTATCAATCATATTTTGAATCTCTCCCAAGCTTTGTGGACACTGTATAGTGTAGCCTTTGAATCTCTCCCAGGCCTCACAAATGGATTCAGACTGCTTTTGGGTGAAACTGGAGATCTCATTCCTTAGACGAGCAGTTCTTGAATTTGAGAAGAACTTAGTTAAGAAGGCCTTCTTGCATTCATCCCAAGATGTGATGGAGCCAGCAGGTAGTGTTTTCTCCCAATGGTGTGCTTTGTCTCCCAGCGAGAAGGGAAACAGACGCAGCTTGAAACTATCTTCACTAACACCATTTATCTTGGTGAGGCTGCAGAGCCTATCAAAATTATCCAAGTGATCCAAGGGATCTTCCAGAGGCAACCCATGAAACTTGTTACCTTGTATCATTGAGATCAATCCACTCTTGATCTCGAAATTGTTGTTCTGGACAGGAGGTGGAACGATGCCCTGTCTCTGTTGATGGTTGCGTGGTGCATCACCATCACCAATGTTCCGTGGTATACCAACTCCGTGATTATCTTGATCTTGTGGTTCCATGGCTACTGGATTGTGCGGTTCACAATCGTCACTGACTCTACGTTCTCTCAACTCACGAGCTAACCGATCGATGTTGTCTTTGTAGCTGATGAGGTTGCTGGAGCCTTTAGATCGAGTTTGCATGCAGAGTGGTCAGTCTCGATGTGCTGTCTCGACGTGTGGTCGAGATGGTACCTGGAGCACAAAAACAAGCAGATGAAATGAAGAGTTAGTAACCAAAGTAAAGAAAGAACTTGATCTTAAACGTTTCTGAAATCTGAAATGGAACAATGCAACACAGGACTGGCAACGGCGCCAAATTGATACTAGGATTTTCACTATCAATTACCCTAATATACTTTCATGTCATTGCAGTATAAAAGGTTATCAATCCAATCAGGTGCTCTAATTATCAATCAAGATGTGATCAGAGAATACTAAGTCAAGCCAAGCAGAATAGAGTTTTGTGTGTTTCTATTGATCCTTAGCAACCAATTTAACATGCAAATACCGAATTTAAAAGCATAAAAAGAGAACTAAACAGCAAGTAAACAAGAGCAAGAAGTAAACTAAAGACCAGAAACTATCATGCATAAGCTTTGGAAAAGAAACTATCAACCTAACAAAGCAGAGAGACGATCTAGGCCTAGCAGGTCGAGTAGAACACGAAAGCTAACAGAAACGAGACTTAAACAATCAATAGAGAATAAGGGTCCTGAGGAATGGGATAATCGATTATAGCAGTCTCCTTAGTCTATCTAGGTGATTAACAAACTCAATCAAGCTATCCCTAGACAATAGATTCAAATACAAATCAATCCACTCTCGTGACAGAGATTCTCAAGCTAAATCACTTTCATACTCAATTCTCATTGAAGAAACATAACCTAGCAGGCATTATGATTCAATCTAATCTAGTCAATAAGCATTCTAAACATCCAATCTCTTGGGCTAGAGTATGCAAATCTCTGGAATAGTTGGTTCAGACATTTCATCAAACACCTTTTGGGTGTGGAAATGTCTGAGATCAACTTCCAATTGATCAGAGAAGAAGTAGCATTAAGATCTACTAAACCAGAAGGGAAATCAAGCAATTCTACTCTTAACCACCTAAATATACTAAGGATTCCACACCTAATCTAACCCATCCTCAAGAACCCTAATCCACTACTCAAGAACACTGAAGAACATCATGCATAAAAACCCAGAAAATGCTTCAAACCCAGAAATCATTAAAAAGCAAGTATGATATAGATAAGAAGGAGATCTACAACTTTGATGAAGAAAAGAAATTCAAAATCTCAAAGGATCAAAGGGAAAAACGATTACAAAACTAGGGTTTTTAGAGAGAACGGCTCAATATCCGCTGGGTAATAGGAATATCCGCTGGGTAATAGGAATATCCGCTGGATAAAAGGGTGAACCCCTATTTATAGAAAATACTAGGTTGCCCTAATTAGCTACAGGACAAAATAGAGAGTCGGCGGAGACCAACTCGACGTGACGTCGAGCCAGCCACGTCGAGACTGCCCTTCTTCAGAGATGGCGCCTGGATGACCCTCTCGACGTGTCGTCGAGCCAGCCACGTCGAGACTGCTCCTCCTCAGCTTTTTCACGTCCTACTCGACCTCACGTCGAGCTTGCTGGTCGAGTCCAACCCTTGGTGGTTTCTGAGCGCCTACTCGACCTCCTGTCGAGTCCAACCAGTGTTTTCTGCATATGTCTCCATTAAAACAACCATAATTCTTGCATCAAAGCTCTGATTCGCTTGAAATCACCTCCGTTGGAAAGGTAACTCAATTTCCTATAACTTGTATGAAGAGCTCTGAAGCTAAATCGCAATGAAAGACTTCCATCTGAGTCGATCTTTGAGGGACTTCGGACTGGCTCTGAATCATCAATTCTCTTCTTTGCATCCAAATGTGTGTCGAGCTTGGCTCCAAACGTCCTTGAATGGCTTCTTTCCTTCTAACTCGATCCCAAGTCAGGTTCATACATCAAACTTGCTCCTCTTCATTCCTTTAAGTCCCAAATAAACTCCAAAGTACCTGAAAAACATCAAATATGCAATATGCTGTGCGATGCAATGCAAATCGTACTAAGTGATGAAAATGATATGAAAAGGACTCTGGATGCAATGAAAGAGTGATAAAACTTAGCTAAATGTATGAGAAAAGTAAGCTTAAAAGTGGTAAAATACAGAGATATCAGTGTGGCCGAAGTCCTATGAGTTTTCGGTTTTGGAGCTTCTAAACGGAAAAACACTACTTTAGCTTACGGGATCCGGTTGAGGTTCTAGTTCTTATACCCAATCATACACACGAGATCTAGTCATATTTGACTCCAAAAACACTAACCAAGCTTCTTATACCCTCTCAAAGCTTTGTGGGTGTGGCCGAAGTCCTATGAGTTTTCGGTTTTGGAGCTTCTAAACGGAAAAACACTACTTTAGCTTACGGGATCCGGTTGCGGTTCTAGTTCTTATACCCAATCATACACACGAGATCTAGTCATATTTGACTCCAAAAACACTAACCAAGCTTCTTATACCCTCTCAAAGCTTTGTGGGTGTGGCCGAAGTCCTATGAGTTTTCGGTTTTTGAGCTTCTAAACGGAAAAACACTACTTGAGCTTACGGGATCCGGTTGAGGTTCCAGTTCTTATACACACGAGATCTAGTCATATTTGACTCCAAAAACACTAATCAAGCTTCTTATACCCTCTCAAAGCTTTGTGGGTGTGGCCGAAGTCCTATGAGTTTTTGGTTTTGGAGCTTCTAAACGGAAAATAACTACTTTAGCTTACGGGATCCGGTTTAGGTTCTAGTTCTTATACCCAATCATACACACGAGATCTAGTCATATTTTACTCCAAAAACACTAACCAAGCTTCTTATACCCTCTCAAAGCTTTGTGGGTGTGGCCGAAGTCCTATGAGTTTTCGGTTTTGGAGCTTCTAAACGGAAAAACATTACTTTAGCTTACGGGATCCGGTTGAGGTTCTAGTTCTTATACCCAATCATACACCCGAGATCTAGTCATATTTGACTCCAAAAACACTAACCAAGCTTCTTATACCCTTTCAAAGCTTTGTGGGTGTGGCCGAAGTCCTATGAGTTTTCGGTTTTGGAGCTTCTAAACGGAAGAACATTACTTTAGCTTACGGGATCCGGTTGAGGTTCTAGTTCTTATACCCAATCATACACCCGAGATCTAGTCATATTTGACTCCAAAAACACTAACCAAGCTTCTTATACCCTCTCAAAGCTTTGTGGGTGTGGCCGAAGTCCTATGAGTTTTTGGTTTTGGAGCTTCTAAACGGAAAAACACTACTTTAGCTTACAAGATCCGGTTGGGGTTCTAGTTCTTATATCCAATCATACACACGAGATCTAGTCATATTTGCCTCAAAAAACACTAAACAAGCTTCTTATTGCCTATCAAAACTTTGTGGGTGTGGCCGAAGTCCTATGAGTTTTCGGTTTTAGATCTTTTAAACCGAAAACACTACTTGAGCTTACGGGATCCGGTTGAGGTTCCAGTTCTAATACCCAATCATACACATGAGATCTAGTCATATTTGACTCCAAAAACATTAACCAAGCTTCTTATACCCTCTCAAAGCTTTGTGGGTGTGGCCGAAGTCCTATGAATTTTCGGTTTTAGAGCTTTTAAACCGAAAACATTACTTGAGCTTACGGGATCCGGTTGAGGTTCTAGTTCTTATACCCAATCATACACCCGAGATCTAGTCATATTTGACTCCAAAAACACTAACAAGGCTTCATATACCCTCGCAAAGCTTTGTGGGTGTGGCCGAAGTCCTATGAGTTTTTGGTTTTGGAGCTTCTAAACGGAAAAACACTACTTTAGCTTACGGGATCAGGTTGAGGTTCTAGTTCTTATATCCAATCATACACACGAGATCTAGTCATATATGACACCCAAAACACTAAACAAGCTTCCTATTGCCTATCAAAGCTTTGTGGGTGTGGCCGAAGTCCTATGAGTTTTCGGTTTTAGAGCTTTTAAACCGAAAACACTACTTGAAGTTACGGGATCCGGTTGAGGTTCCAGTTCTAATACCCAATCATACACACGAGATCTAGTCATATTTGACTCCAAAAACACTAACCAAGCTTCTTATACCCTCTCAAAGCTTTGTGGGTGTGGCCGAAGTCCTATGAATTTTCGGTTTTAGAGCTTTTAAACCGAAAACACTACTTTAGCTTACGGGATCCGGTTGCGGTTCTAGTTCTTATACCCAATCATACACACGAGATCTAGTCATATTTGACACCAAAAACACTAACCAAGCTTCTTATACCCTCTCAAAGCTTTGTGGCTGTGGCCGAAGTCCTATGAGTTTTCGTTTTGGAGCTTCTAAACGGAAAAACACTACTTGAGCTTACGGGATCCGGTTGAGGTTCCAATTCTAATACCCAATCATACACACGAGATCTAGTCATATTTGACTCCAAAAACACTAACCAAGCTTCTTATACCCTCTCAAAGCTTTGTGGGTGTGGCCGAAGTCCTATGAGTTTTCGGTTTTGGAGCTTCTAAACTGAAAAACATTACTTTAGCTTACGGGATCCGGTTGAGGTTCTAGTTCTT